GAGAAGAGACGAGACGAGAAGAGACGAGACGAGAAGAGACGAGACGAGAAGGGAAGAGAAGGGGAGAGAAGAGAAGAGATGAGAAGAGAAGAAAAGAGAAGGGAAGAGACGAGACGAGAAGAGGCGAGAAGAGACGAGAAGAGAAAAGAAGAGACGAGAAGAGACGAGAAGAGATGAGACGAGACGAGAAGAGACGAGAAGAGACGAGACGATAAGAAACGAGAAGAGACGAGAAGAGACGAGAAGAGACGAGAAGAGACGAGAAGAGACGAGACGAGACGAGAAGAGAAGAGAAGAGAAGGGAAGGGAAGGGAAGGGAAGGGAGAAGAGAAGGGAAGAGAAGGGAAGAGAACAATCTTGTGAGTTTACGATTGTGTTTGGAACTTGCCACAGAAATGCCGTCAATCTTGTGAGTTTACGATTCTGTTTGGAACTTGCCACAGAAATGCCGTCAATCTTGTGAGTTTACGATTCTGTTTGGAACTTGCCACAGAAATGCCGTCAATCTTGTGAGTTTACGATTCTTGTTTGCACATGTTTTGCCTGGCCCTGTCCTAGAATGTCCGTTCTTCACGAAGGCAAACAGGTTAGCAAGCGGCGCCGCAAAGGCTTCACTTATGCGGAGGATGTCCGCAGTGTAGGCCTGGTTCACCTCGTCTGGAATATCACCGTAGTAGTCACCCTGAAGGGCTCTTTCTGCTGCTCTTCGCCAGAGGATGGTGCGCCCCTAATTTGAAAGACAGGAAGGGCTTCGAAGCCCAGCGTGGCGAACATCGCGTGGAGTCCGCCGGTCGTTGAGTCCGCCGCCTCCAGGCTTCGACCAGAGCCTGGAGGAGCTCCGGTTCCCGCGCTTGCAGAGCCTGAATTTGGGCGATGGCGCCTTGGGCGGCGCACGGGCGCTACGGGCGAACGGCATGTTCGTTTGGGACTGGGAAGGCACGGGGACGTCCCAAAAAAGAAGGACCTTGGTGTGGGTCCGCTAGAGGTCGCGAATTGGAAAGAGGCATATGTTGTAGATTGTAGCCATTTCCTACCTGGCGGCGCATAACGGCACCCAGCATGACTTTCCCACAGTTCAGGGCTGCCATAAGTCAACGAGACAGAATCTCCGACGGTATTGTACCAAAAGACACGACATACAACAGCTGCATTCTTTGTGGGTGAGGCAGCGAGATAGAAACCTTCGGCTCCCTCGTTTGTAAAAGCCCGCCAAAATAGACATCGCAGCCGCAGCGCTCCATTTATCAGGGCCCGGGGCCCTACCTTGGTCACCAAGTGCTGCGCCTGCCACGAAATCTGCACTTCGAGGTTCACCAAGCGCAGTACCTGCCACGAAATCTGCACTTCGAGGTTCACCAAGTGCTGCGCCTGCCACGAAATTATCTGCACTTCGAGGTACACAAAGTGCTGCACCTGCCACGAAATCTACACTTCGAGGTTCACAAAGTGCTGTGCCTGCCGCGAACTGTGCACTTCGAGGTTCACCAAGTGCTGTGTCTGCCGCGAAATCTGCACTTCGAGGTGCGCCAAAATGCTGTGCCTGCCACGAATTCTGCATTTCACTGGGTATCAACTAGCACAGGAAGCTCTTGAAGATGCATGCATCCGCACCAATTTAAAGGCCCAAGCAGCTGAAGAACAGCGTGTCACCACAAAGAATGGTGTTCCATTGAGGATCCACGTGGTGGCGATGATGTCCTACAAGGAGGGATGATCATATATGATGATGACCCTCATGATGCTGCTCCATGATGGCCCACAGTCGACCCATCCACACACCACGCTTCGCCGAGCTGCCCATCGATTCCTTCGTTCAGCTCCTGGCCGTGACGAGGAGATGACTGGATGCGGTTGGGAGCGGCTGAGTTCAAAGAGACGGTGTTCAGCTCTTCTGTGATAGGTCTGGTATAGGATCCAGGAAGAATCCGAGCAAGGCTCTGTCAGAGGTCTCTATGGAAAACAGTCCAGGACGGGCGGATCGCTGATGGGAGGGCACCTTTTCATTCGTTTTCTGGTGGGTCCAGGTGGATACAGCCAGCGACACCAAGTCCCGCACCCGGCCCCGGATGGCGGGGCTCTCTCTACAGAAGCAGTTCTGTCTGCTCATGATGCTCATGAGTCATGTATATCTACATTCATAGATGTCCTTGATTGATGTCTTTGGCCTAAGATGCCCTAAGGGTAGGTCTGGTGATCTCATGAAAAGAAGGGGGTTCCAAGAATTGCAACACTCAACTTGGACCAACTTGTGGCATCTACTGTGACGCCACTGTGCACCTTAGTGGCAAAAAGCACGATGCCAAATGCCAAGTGACTCAAAACCATTGTGATCGGCCGAGTCTAAGGAAAGGCAAAATCGGTGAATGTTTGAGCACTGAATATGGGCGGCAAAGCGAACTCAGGCATCCCCGGCGAGACGATCAACATCTCAGATTTGGACTCCACAAGAAGACGAGGAAAAGGCATAAGAAAAGGCTACATCGGAGTCCATAATCGCTGGGAAAGTATGTGAAAGATCTGAAGCTAAACAGCATCCAATTCACTTCAGTGTTCCGACAAGCAAAAAGTACGGCGGTGGTGGTGGTGGGTTAAAACGAATTAAAACAATAGACCAACAAGACTGCGGAATGGTCCAGCTCTAGAAAGTTCTCCTCTGGACCCATTCCTTTTCCCTAGACTGTGGACATCAGAAGCCAAAAATGGAACACTTGATTAAGGACATTCACCCCTGGTATATATGTATTCTGCTATAATATATGAACAAAAATATAAGCAATAATATATTATCATATATTATAATCCCGAGTACCTATTAAAAAACGGACACCAATTAAAAAAAAGTCATGCCGGATCCCCTAAATTCGGTTTATATTTGGTTTTAAATTGCCGCCCTTTCAAACCGCTACTAAACTACCAACATGGTCGATTTTGGGGGGAGTTTTTTTTATTAGGTTCCCCAAAACTCCACCATGACACGCTGCGCTTACACCAGCAGGCTTTCCTTCCCTCAATGGCACGGGCTCACGCAAACGCACTTGCCACCGAGGTCATGCAACACCGCATGGCACAGCGACATCACCTTTCGAAAGCTTTAGCTGTTAGTCTACTGAAGAATCACTATTCTAATGAAGGTTTTTGTAGGGGAAAAGGAAGACCCTTCGATCTGGCGGTTTTTTGCATTTTTGATATGAGTTTAATAAAGGATTTTATATAAAATTTACCTGGATTACTGTTTGGTTTTGAAACTCTTTCCAGGTGACCCTATTTTGCGCCCCCCGATTTCAGGGACCCCCTATTAGAAAAAATGCGACCGAGGTTTCCTTATTAGGGGGGGGGGGCCGTGTTTTTTATTAGGTGGACCGGATTAATTGCTATTTGTTTGAATTCAAGTAGGAAGGCCCAAAAACGAACACCAAGAAAGAAAGACACCGGGGTGTTGCCCAACAGGACCCATCCCTCCACATCCCCAGAGACCATGCCACCGCCTCAAGCGCCAAGGACGAGTGATCCTGGGGACAGCGAGGTCGTGGTGACCGATGGAGATCAGTTTGAAACATATCGGTTGCAACATGTCACGGTGTGTTTCTCAAAAAGATATATTCTAATTAGCCGGTTCATAGCTATAAATGTATATACTATATTCACATGGCTCTTTTAGAATAGACCTGCCCCAAGTTCGATCATGTTGGTTTCGGGAGTTCTCTATTCCAGTACACCTCGGTCACCTCGCGTATACCATGCACTGGGCAGCCCAAACGGGGCAGACCGATTGCATGGGTGAGATAGGTTGGGACGAAAGCTGTTCTTTGCGTCTGCTCATTCTATCACTGCGACTCAACGACACGGGTCAAGAGTAAACTTGAAATTGTGTGAAACTCTTGATGGCAGTCCCTCCCGCTCGCTGACTTCAGATCTCATGCCAATGATAATGATACCCTACATGTCATTTGTCATGATTTGTCAAAATTGACATCCATGCTGCTACAAAACGCCAATGGAAGCCACCGCTCTCCAAAACGTCCAAAAACATGTCATGACTGGCCATGAGCTCCATGTCCAAGGCACGTGTCTTTGGCGTCATCCACCCGAAAGCCCTGACCGCGATACAATCACAAGTCACGCCGCTTGGCACAACAGGGTTCCGCTGTCGGATGGGCATTCAATTTTCAGGCTCGGGATTTGCTAGCAGGAACCGAGAAACATATATAAAGTATTCGCCAGAAGGATTCATAGGGGAATTCCCGTACCTGTGAAATTCCCAAAACCTCCAAGCGCGGCAACACCCGGCAAGTCGGACCCAAAACCCGAAACAGACACGCATGGACGAGTCCATCAGTGGGCCGAATCCGCTGATATTTCACGAAAAGAAGTCACGGACTTAAGGCTCTTCATTCAAATGATGATGAGTTATCCTGAGATCCTGTTATCCTCATGTGACTCATGTTTGTGTCTTTCCGTGAGAGGTGATCATGACCATCAACGTACAGGAGCGCGGCGGGATTTCAGAAGGGAAAGGTGTTGTTCCTTTGCTTCCAGAGATTTAAACGCGGGTTCGTCCAGTTTCAACATGGCTGTGGGTCATGGCACCAGGTTACCGACCAGTTGACCTACGTGGGACCGGTCGAACGACCGTCGGGCTCCACGTATACGTCTTGAGCTGTGGACTGCCCGCACACGGAGCCCGCAACCAGTGTAGCTCAATCGCTCCATGGTCCCTGCTTCAAACATTTTCAGCCCCACCACTCTACCAAGTCTGTGGATGGAACCCGCGGCTTTTCTCGGCACAGCACGGCCATCATGAGGCTGGAAAACCCGAAACACTCGAAACCCACGGCTTTACGATCCAAAGGCCATAAGGCATAGGCATGGCATATTCATAGCCCTCATGGCAATTCCATTATCCATAAGGCCATATCATGTCTATTTCAATCGGAACACCTGGCCCTCGCCTTTGGGTAGACTGATCTATTTCCCGAACCTTCCTTGAGGTCTTTGAGAAGTCTCCCTATCTTAATACACACCCATAATATATTGTAATGCATCTTATAGCGCCTAGGCCTAACAAAGAGGGGCATAGTCTGTGGGGTGGTTCGCCTCGCCACATCCATGGTCTCGTTCAGTGGGTGCCCATCAAATCCGTGGAGTTGGGGGTTTGGGACCAAAACCCTTCACCCAATCAACATGTCAGACATCCCTTCAGTCGACTTCTTGCTGTCACACACTGCAACTTGGATGAGAACGGTCCCAAAAACTGGGTCCAGTCCCAAAAACGGCTTCTTCGTTCGAAACGGACCCCGCCTGGAGGTACTCATTCAACCGCTCGATGCCGCTCTTCAAATTTCCCACGTTTTGGATCAACAAATCATCCTGGGCCGGGCCGTGAAACGAAGGCGAACACGTGGCGAACGAAGGGCCATCCTCTCCGTGAAGAACGCGTTCACGAGCGGACCAAAACAAAACCACCGCTCGGAGAGTGGCGGGCAAAGCGTTTGTTTTTTGTCTTTTTTCGAAGGTGGAAGACGGGAACACCGGAAAACCTGACAGTTCTAATATGTTCTAATTTGGGTGCAAAGACTTTCAGTCTTAAGCTTTCACTGATTCAAAGAAGGTGAAGTGTTGGTTTTAGCAAAACTCGTGTTTGTGCATGCTTTGCTGGTGTGGTTGCTGGTGTTGTCGAGATGTTGCATGTGGACGCTGTTGATGTGGTGGGATCGGGTGGGTGAGGAGTATTAAAGTGCTTTTCAAACGGTTTGGATGGTTTGGATGGCCACGTTTCTTGCGTAGTCGTCTCTTCGAGATCGTTTGGGTGAAAACTGGTCATCTCTTTTGGAAGACATGAATGGCGACTGGTCTCCTATCGAAAAAGTGAAGTAGAAAGTGGTGGACCCGACTCTGTTCTGAAAAAGCTACCAGTCAAGGACCACGCAAGGAGAAACACACAAGCCTACGAGGAAAAAACAGCACGGTGGAGGAATGGGGAAAAACACCAGGGCCAAAGGTGCAAACACGATGTTGGAGTGAGTTGGATAGCGCAACATCTCCAAGAATAATCTTCCAAAAAGTGCTCCTTCTGTCTGACCTTCTTGTGGTCTCTCTTTCCAAATGATCTCCCAGAACATCGGGATTTGGCCAAATTCCCAAGCCGGCCAGTCATAGCACCAAGTGGCACACAAGGAACTCACATCCGCGACCTGCCACGCGACACATCGTCGGTGGTTTTGTCGCGTGGAGGGGCGAATCATTTCGAACGGGTGGACCATCGGCTTTTCGGTGACTTTGGAAACCCACCAAACCCTATAGTACTAGGGCTCCAGTCGTACCTCCTCAGAAGGTATGACTGGACCCTCCAAATCCACCCCAGTCCCACCTTCTCAGAAGGTACTTGGAGCCCTATGGAAAGGGTTCTTTCCACTCACACCAAGGGATCTAAAAAACCGCTCGCTGTGAGAAGACGACCATCAAGTACGTGGTCTGGCAGGCAGGTCTGGCAATCAAAAGTGGTCCAAGTCTATATACCTCCCCCTGAAAAGTCCTGGCTCGAATGCCAACTTCAAACAAAATTCCCACCCACTTGGGATGAAAGAGTCTGATTAGTGCCCAAAAAGATCAAAAGGAGAAGGACATCAAACAGCCGCTGTTGGCAGTGCTGGCTTTCTTCAGTGATGCGGCAGCCATCGAATCTGGGACGAGTTTCTTCTGCAGAAGTGGATGGTGTACTCGGTGTGCACCCTCTTCCTGTCAATGTTCACCTCATCCCTAGGGATCCAAGTACCTTCTCAGAAGGTACTCGGGCCCTCCAAACCTACATAACAGTGCCTCCAATCACCTTCTGAGAAGGTACTTGGATCCCTATAGGGCATGATTATAGATTGACCATCGGCACCCCCACGCCCCGGGGCACCTCGGAGGCTCGGACCCTCAGTGTTTAAAACCCAGTCCGTCGCCGCGCAACGGCTGAAGCCCATGGCACGCGTGCCACGCGTGTGCGGGCCACAGGTGTGCGGGCCACGCGCGCGCGGGCCTCGGTGACATCCTTGGGCAAATCCAAATGGACCTTGTAGCCCTGGATGGCTGCACCTAGAGATGGCACGGGCCACACGCGGTCTGTACACTGTCTGTGCGCGGGAAAAGCGCACGTGCGCTTCCCGTCTCCTCATAAAAGGGTATGATATGGTCTGACCATCTGACAGCATGCTTTACCAAAGACCAGAGGGGTTTCGAGAAGCTTTTTGCTTGAACAAATATCGTTATTTTTCATTCCTTGGAGTCGTGCAACAGACCGCATGTGTTTGCACAAGGACCCTCAAAAAGACAAGGTTTAGTATAGTCCTTCGGAACTCACCTCAACCTCCTTGTGACTTGGGGAAGGTGAATTCAACCGGCTGAACTTGGGTGAACTTGAGGGAGAAGAAACATCGAGCAAAAGCTGGCTGAAGGAGTGTCTGCCGTGGCAAACACATTTCGCACTTTTTGGCCGCTGGTGGTGTACTTGGATACATGCTCCTCGTCCAATTCTTATACTATGTAACGGACTCTTCAAAGGTTGATTGGATTTAACGAAACAGTGATACAAAAAGAGTCAAGCAAACGATTTGTCCAGAAGGTCAACGAATCAAGCCCGCGAGTAGGGAAAGTTAGCAATATCAAGGAGTTTGTGCATCAACTTTTGTAGTAATTACGATGTCATTCGTAAAACCTGCAAACTTTCAACTCTTGGTGCTATCGAAAGTGAAATACAAACAAAACAAAACACTGTTTCAGGATACATGGTCTTTTAGACAACCAAGTAAGATGTTCATCTTGTATATCGGGTATTGTTGTTCATGTGGTTTTTCATTCTCCTGCAAGGGCTAAGCTTCACCCATCAAGTTTGACATTACCTCCATAGTGGACCCTGCCAAAGACGCATGGCGCCGTTTGCAGTCTTGATGTTGCTTTTCCAAAAGAGTACGTGTCTATAAACGTGTATGCTTGGGCTGTGAAGAGGCTTGCAACCGTTACCCAAAGGTCCCTCTAATGTTGTGTTTGTGTATATGTTTTGCATTGTTTTTACAATCCACTTGAGCTCTCTCGTGATCTGGGTCCAAACACACTTACAATCTTCAGCAGAGACCTCTCCCAAAACGCTCATATGACTCATGGACCCTTCTATGGCGGGGTCGGACCCTCATATGGAGGGTCTGGGGTCTCAAATCCATAGGTTTTGAGGGACCAGTCAGGCTGTGAACGGAGCGTCTGGGCTAGATGTTCTGGGTTTTTGCATTGCTAATTTGCTTAAGCACAATATAAATATATATCGTATATATATAGTGTGAAAGTGGCATGTCAAGCATCCACGTCGAACACGTTCGCCATGAGTTGTTTGTGTATCCGCAACGATCTCGGACCAAAGGGCCCTTGATGCCATTGGACGGCATTCGGATTCGGATTTGATGGTGGAGTGAAAAGACCTGTCGGTGCGGTGAGCGGGAGCTTTTTCCATTTCATTGAAGCGTTCCTTGGTTGTTTGCTTTACAGCTTTGCTACCAGTTCCGCATGGTAGCGGAGCTACCTCGGTAGCATCCGTGCGTCGAGTTTGATCTGGGCGATACCAGGCCATCCGGCCTAAGGTGCATTGCTGCAAGCTTTGTTTCAGTGATTTCACTGAGGTCTATCGTGACCGCTCACACACACTCAACCGCGTTTGTTCGCTGCACTTGTAACTGTTCACCTCACCTCAATACTTCAACATGAATAGCAAAGATGCTTTCTTTGACCTGCAGTTCGATGGACGACCAGCTGGATACAGGGACTTTCGTCGAAAGACCATCTTGGCTGTGGCTGGCCAAGAAAACAAACATGCTGCCCTTGCCGGGCCCCGTTTGTTGCAGAGGTTGCAAGGCGAAGCTTGGAGGGCGACAGAGCACCTTCGCATTGCTGATTTGAGAAAGCAAGATGGATGGCTTGAAGTCATCCATGCATTGGATCGGCATTACAAGTTCCTGCCCGAGACTGAGTTGCACGAGGCAGTTGAGGAGTTTCTGTTTCATATGAAGCGTAAGCCTGGTGGAGGAGCTACATCTTTCAGTTCACGCTTTCGCACCTCATCGCGCAGGAGCGCGAGCTGCATCGTGATCGCAAGTCCAAGCGTCGAGCTCGGAAAAAGAAAGCTGCCTCTCAAGGCGCACAGTCTTCGGGCAGCAGCCTCGAAGAATCCCTGCCTTCAGAGACAGGTGAAACGCCTTTTGCAGATCCCATCACTCCTGACCTGAAGTCACAGTCAGAGGGTGATTCAGGGGTGGAAGCCAAGCCTGATGGCCCAGCGGCTCCCAGCCCGCCTTCGAAAGCCTCGTCGACTGGATCCAAGCGTGAGAGAGACTCTCAGTTGTCTCGTGGCACGCACAAGGCCGATCGAGAGAAAGAGGATCGCAAGATGCTTGAGATGCTTGGTTCACTGGAACATGGTCATTTGAAGCCAAAGCCCATTTTTCCACAAGCCATCTTAGGTCACCTGTACATGCGCAAGTTTGGCCTCAACCGTGAGCAAAGAGCACACATCATTCGTTCGACCAATGGGTCTTCCCGCCTGGAAGACATCGAGCGCATTGTTCGTGCCTCCGATCTGGAAGAGTTTAGATCTGAGCGACGGGTGGACGACAGACATCGCCCGCCTAAACACCCGCGTCGAGACACCATGCTGGTTGACGAAGATGCCCTGCTTGCGGAGGATGATTCATCTGATTTGTGGGCTCCCGACGATGATTTGGAGACCGATTCTGGTGATGCCTTCCTTGCCAATGAAGATGATCCGTCCGGAGAGACTGATCAAGAGCTGCAAGAAATCTATGAAGTACAAAAGAAAGCCAAAAAGGAGTTTCGCAAGAGCTTCAAAACCTACAAAGAGAGCCGCAAGAAGGTTCGTGAGATCAAGAAAAATCGGACACCCTATCTGCCAGTGGTTGCTTTGAACCAGTCGCCTGACGCGACACCTTCGGGGCAATCGCCAGTCGCCAGACAGACCTTTGGCGGTGATCGGAAATCTGCTTCATCCAAGCCAGCGCCCAAGCGGCGCAGCGATTCGAAGTTTCCAAGCCGAAAGGAAGAGGCGAATCTCGCCACCTCGACTGTTGTGGAGCAATTTTCTTACATGGTTGAATGTCAGCCTCAAGCCATGCTGCATGAGGACGTTTGGCTGACGACTGTGCCCGATGGATATGCCATCATCGACACTGGCTGCACGACTTCCATCGTAGGTTCCGAGACAGCCGACCGGCTGCGAGCATACCTTGAAAGCCAGGGCTGGCCCCAGCCTGTTTCGTGCACCTTGCCACCTGTCGAGTTGAAGGGTTTCAATGGAACCAAAGAAGAGACCACCAATGGTTTGAAATGGGCAGTTAAGCTAGGGAGCCTGTGGGGAACCATCACCACATACATGATTCCAGGTGCTGCTCCTTTCTTGCTCTCCCGCCGAGTGTTGGAAGGGATGGATGCCAAACTGGACCTGGGACGTCAGACAATCACGTCCACCAAGCATGGCATGCATGATGTGCCATTACGCCAAGCATCAAATGGCCATTTGTTGCTGCCGTTGCTCGAGCTGCCAGCCGATCTGTCAGTGTCCGAGGAGATCGCTCATGCAGAGCATGAAACAAACGAAAACGAGAATGAGCCCAATACCTGTCCTGTGCCGGACCGCATGCCTGAATCACTTCCTAGAAAGACTAGAGTTTCCACTAGTGATCGAAGAAGAGTCTTTCAACACATTGTCAAAAACACCCGAAAAGGAATTGTCAATGTTGAACGGTTTCAGAAAGAGCTACAACAGTTGTTTGGGGGAAGGGGAAAAGATATTCGCTACTGTTTCGTTGCATATAGGCCTCGCTTGGAACGCGTTCCCACTGATGCAGGTACTCGTACGTACGATCGTTCCGTCGCCTCTCTCACTTCCGATGGTGAATTGCATGTTTCTCCATGGAACCAGCGTTTGCCAGGAGAGAGCCGTCGCCAAGTGATCCAAGTGAATGCGTGCCTTTTTGCATATATCCCCACCGACTGTGTTGAAGCCGCCGACAGCCACCATCAGGATAGTCACCACGACCATCACTGTTTTTGCTGTCGGGTGTGTGATTCAGAGGGCGAGGAAATTAGGGATACGGCTGATAACCCCCTAGAGGAATCCACCTATGAAGTGACCACCGAAACCTTGTACGGGGAAGAGATTGATTGGAGTGGCATCCAACTGTCCACCATGCAGCCGGAAGAACAACATAGCCTCGCTAAAAGTATTCAAGCCATGAGAAAAACATATGCACAGTTCATTTTGTCTAGACTTCAAGGGAATCAAGATGATCTGATAGCAGAACTCAGTGAATGGCTAGGACCTGCTCAGGCCCATAAGCTGCACGGACCCAAGCAGTTGATCGAAGTCTTCACGGGACAAGCACCTTTGTCCAACCACGTTGAGAAACTAGGCGGATCAAGCATTCGCATTGGTTTAGATCATGGTCAAGACCTCAGCCTCCATGAACACCGTAGGAAACTGATGCTTTTGATAGCCTATTGCCGACCAAGACATGTCTGGATCAGTTTTCCATGTGGGTGCTGGGGACCGTGGAGCCGCATGAACATGTCTCGGGATGCCAAGTCCTGTGAACGTGTAGAAAACCAAAGACGTCTGGCCCGGCGATATCTGTCGCTTGTGCCGGAGATCTGGAGCTTCCAGCAGTCACTTGGAGGACACACTCATGTAGAGAATCCTCTCTCATCCGATGCTTGGAAAGAGTTTAAACTTACCCATGCCTTCGCAGTTCGCATAGACCAATGTAGTGTAGGCCTTAGGTGCCCTAAGACTAACCTGCCGGTCATGAAGCCAACCCGGATAGTCACCTCCTGTGAATCCTTGGCCACAAGACTTCATTCGTGTCGTTGTGATCAAAAGCATAGTCATGCCCACTTAGAAGGTAACTACAAGGGTAAGCCACTCACATCGTATGCAGAGACATACCCTCGAAAGATGTGTCGAGTGATTGCCGAAGTTCTTTGCGCCAAAGAGCACTCCCAGCCAGCTGTGCACGATGTTTTTGCTGAGCTAGATGATGAGCCGCTAGTAGAGCAGGAACTTCCCATTGAAAAGCAACGTATTCAGGCCATGATTCGTAAACTACATGTGAACACAGGTCATGCTTCCACGGAACAAATGTTGCGACTGGCCAATCGTTGTCAAGTAAGTCCCGAAGTAAAACAGGGCATCAAAGATTTCAAATGTGCCATCTGTGAAGATCACAAAGTTCCTGTGTCTCACCGTCAGTCGGCCATCCCACATGCTGACACGCCGAATCAGATTGTTGGAGCTGATTATGTGCAAGTCGAGCTCAAACACATCAATGATCGGGGTGTAACTGAAGAAGTCAAGTTCAATGTCCTCACATGTGTAGATCTTGCCACGGACTTTGCACAACAAATAATAGTCCGTAAGGGTACTCCTATAGCCAAGGCATTTCATGAGGTTTGGACACGTCCATATGGAGCCCCAAAGATCTTGTACACCGACCCCGCCGGTGGAACCTTGTCTGCCGATTTGCAAGACTATCTGCTGAGACACAGCATTCAGCTCCTGCATTGTGCCACTGAAAGCCATTGGCAGTTAGGTCGTGTAGAGATTGCCAACCGTGTCCTCCGTGGAATGGCTCAAAAGATATGGCAAGATACTGATAGGCCCCCTGAAGAAATCATAGAGACGTGTGCCAGCATTCGCAACCAACAGCTGAGGAAGCATGGATTCAGTCCAAGTCAATGGTTTTTGGGTCAAGATGTTACCCATTCCGCCATGCTTCATACAGTTGAAGGTCAACAGAACTTTCCAGTCCAATCCCAGGTCTTAGCTGATCCAGTTTTTGCATCCCAAGTCAAGCTTCGAGAAGATGCTGCAAAAGCCTTCATAGAAGAGCATTCCAAGGATACGTGGCGCCGTGCCTTAGCAGCTCGCAATAGGCCCATGAGAGGTCCATACCAAGCAGGCCAACTGGTCTACTTCTTCCGGAAGAGGGCGAGGGGACTCCTCTCCACTCGTCATGGAGTGTGGTATGGTCCAGGAAAAATCATAGGTCTCGAGAGCTCCTCCGGTAGCGTAACACCACGCATCGTGTGGGTTGCCTTCAACGGTTTCCTGTACAAATGTTCACCTGAAGGGTTACGTCCAGTGCCTCAGGACGAAATGCAGTTTCGATAACTTGCTAGGGAACTCTCAATGGGTCGCTTGGCACCTGATGTCGAAAGGGCTGAACAAAGTATCACTAATAGAGCTCCCCAATATCAAGATGTTTCCGATGATCTCCCCCAAGCTTCCGATGATGAGCTTGAAGATGATGTCATGCAAGAACCAGATCCACCTGATGATAATGGTCATGATGATAATGATGATGACGAAGGTGGACCCCGCAAGATCCGTAGGAGAGACCGGTGGTCGGGGACAACATGCCATCTTCAGCAAATTCGAGCATGGCCCACTTGTCCGGGCTATCATCTTCTCGCAAGCGCTTGGCGGCATCCGACATGGATCCGGTAGCGTCATTTGGGAGGCTGCTCATCTCACTGGTGAGGGCACTGAGGAAGCTCTGTGAGGCCACTAACTGCTTCTGCTGGCCATGAATCACGGCTCGGCGGAAAAGGCTGGCAGCTATGCCAAGTTCTCCTTCAGACAAGGGATGCACATCGGCCTCAGTCTTGGAGATGCGGCTGTGCTTTGACGGTTCCATCAGTCACTCCGGACGAATGGTGTCAGGTCAGTCCGTCCTTGCAGCTGGATGCAAAAAGGCTCGGACACATGATCTTTCGCTCTGGTGGGAAAATTGCAAAACGCACAACGGAGAAGTTTCTTTCATGAAGGCTATACACTATACAACTGAACATGCTCTTTTGACAAGGCTTCTTACACAGAATTTCACTGAAAAGCTTGCACTCTATGGTGAACATGCCACACGAAAAACGAAAGAACTTCACTCCTTCTCGTTTGGACCCGTTTCGGCTTTCTCACGACGGCCGGAGACCTTACAAACAGCAATCTGGTAGGTGCCTCGTTTGAGGATCTCATACAACAACTTCGTTTCACCCTTCAATTTAGTGAGGCAATCAGCGGCCATACGCAAGTTGTTTACCCAGAAGCCGGTTATGTGTTGTTTAGTCATGGTCTCCTTAGCAATGGCATAATCAATTTGAAGTCTACGCTCAACCGAGATAGCTTGCGAACAGCAACTTCGGGTGATGGCATCATAGAAACCCTTGGAATCAATGACAAGCGCAGCTTCATGTTCAGGGGTCATTTCTCGGAACTGCTTGGGGGTTGTCCCATGAAGTGTTTCCTCCAACAAGGCTTGAAATAGCTCTGTTGCATCAAGACCATTCTGACCGGCGAGTGTTTCCGCGGCCACGGATGATCGAACAGTGCGTTTCAGCTTTTTGGATGACCAGTCAACAAGCCAACATCTTGCTCTTTCACGCTTGAGCATCTTCGACTCTGCGATCAGCAACAAGTATCCACCTTGGCTGTCTCCACTTTCTCGGGTGGCCCATCCAGCGTCGGAGATGCAGACTAGGCGCCAATCCTCTAAAGGAACGGTGCTGGGAAACCTCAAGCATACTTTACGCTCCTTCATTTCCCTGATCCCCTTATTGTACAGATGCACACGCGAGACTAGCCCTTTATCCTGGACACCCTGTAAATATGAGGCTAGGAAAGCTTGGTCAGGTCTAGTGGAACTTGTTACCCACGCTAGTTGACCAGCACAAGTCCTCAAAAGGGATTTATCCGGGAGTGGCGTGCTTGCTGTACCCAGAGGCTTGGTCTGCACACATTCCAAGGCATCGATGTATGCTTCTTGACCAATCTCTATTTCAAAAGAGGCAGGATTCTGTCTGATTTCTATGCCAGTGTATCGGATGGTGAATGTGCGATAGTCTCCAAATGGCAATCTGGCACGAAGTTGATTCAGTATTGCATCCATGGCTGGGGTTCCACCACCTAGGATGTCATCTACATGAATACCACAAACACCACAAAGCTGGCCCTTAATGCGAAGCGTGAACAAACATGGATCTAGCTGACTCTGCTGCAGACCAACCTCACGCATTTCACGGCTCAATCGAAGGAACCAAGCTCTTGGGGCTTCGGCCAAACCATATGCTGCCTTCTCGAGGCGGAAGAGATCATCGCTGTTAAGATGCAACCATTCTTTAAGCTCTACGGGGGGCTTGAAGTAAATGTCCCGTGACGACTTATCCCCTGAGAGAAAGGCTGTTTTGATGTCGGCACCAAACACTTTCCATTTTTGAGCACTACATATGGACAGGACAAGATGCTTCGTCTCTTTACGAAGGGTTGGACTATCAGTGGCTATTCGACCCAACTCTGGATCTTGCCATCCTATCAAGACCAAACGTGCCTTAGGAACCTTGGTGTGATGATCGGGGTTGGAACTTTTCTTCCGTGTGAGAACCCATCTAGCTCGAATGATGCGATCTAGGGAAATGCCTTTGCTCTTACACAGTGAGGTGACCTTGTTGTCTACCCATGACTGCCACTCCTTTTGCATAGCCTTTTTGAAGAGTTCTTTATCACCTGGTGACAGTTTCCTATAACTGACCTCTACCCTTCGGAGCTTGGCCTTCGGGGTTGCCACCAAAAGACATTCTTCAAGCACTTGCCACAGGCACAAGGGATTCCCAGTTATGTCGTCTCGACAAACGTTCATGGAAACCTCAAGTACACTCTCGGAAAGCTTACACTTTTGATTACCGATGTCAACAAGCAACTCATCGTCCTCTTCAATTGGGATGGGTTCATTGGCTGCTCGTTCAAACGGTTCTCGGCTTCCGAGGGTGCCAAATCAGTAGCTGGCTCGGCTTGCATTGATTGGCTATCAGGTGCACTCGGCTCGTCCGGTGCTTCAGGCAAGGACAGTGCGGGCACTTCCGGCTCGGGAGGAGTCTCCTCTGGAGCATGCGAAGGAGTGTACTCACTCAGATCAGGCAATGGTTCCATGTCATGATCTTGTTCTTGAGGGGGTTCGTTCTCTTCAGGAATCTGATCTAACACAATCCTACGCTTGCTGGGAGGCTCGCCCTCATACGTTGTGGATGGTCGTGCACCAGGTCCAATTCGAACAGGCATTGATCCTTCATGCATGGTACCTAGGGGTGGTGCACTTTCAGACCTACGCTTCCAATATTCAGGTGACCGATAGAATGTGCTGGATATGTTGCGCCTGAGACCACCTATGCAGGTTTGCTTGAAGCCCGTGGGTCCAAGCTGAACCCGCTCTCCGGAAAGATGCCTTCGATGACATGGACTGAGGATGATCCTCGAGTGCCCATGCCAGCTGAGCTGACGTCAGTGCTTGATTGGTCGACCACTGAGCTAAAGTTGCCGAAGTGTGCTCATTTGAACCTCACATATGGAGAGTTCATTTCGAAAGCAAAGGCCGATGCCGAATTGCGTGCATATGCCAAACTCATCATGGAGTCTTATGGTCCTTTTGTAAAGAATAAAAAGACTCAGAACTACACACAAGCAGTGGATTTTGCCCACTTCCTTTGCCGTGTGAAGTTTGATGCAAGTGCCGGTTCCAGCTCCGCAGGGTTTCAGAGATCCCTCCGGAAGTGATCGGTCGCCAAGACCTTGATCTTGAGCCCCCTACTTGGTCCAGATATCCTCTTGGATAGAGGGCGTGTGAAAGTGGCATGTCAAGCATCCACGTCGAACACGTTCGCCATGAGTTGTGTGTGTATCCGCAACGATCTCGGACCAAAGGGCCCTTGATGCCATTGGACGGCATTCGGATTCGGATTTGATGGTGGAGTGAAAAGACCTGTCGGTGCGGTGAGCGGGAGCTTTTTCCATTTCATTGAAGCGTTCCTTGGTTGTTTGCTTTACAGCTTTGCTACCAGTTCCGCATATAGTATACAGTAGATACATAGTTCCCTTCTTGTGACGCAAATGACCCATGGCTGCATTCCCCACCACTCCAGTCCTCCGTCCTCGTCCGTCCTCCTGGTTCGAGGCGCGATGCTTCAGGGACACGCCCCGGAGTCCACTGAGCCACCACCAAGTGAAGAAGACCGATTTGGGTGGGATCATACCTGGCACCGACTTGGATTTGGGGTGCTTTTTGTTGGGGTTGAAATCCACCGAAGTCCACCGAAGGATTCGGATGGTGGTGTAAGAGGCTGAACGTTTTGAAATCATGGTATACGTGGAAAAAGGCCAAATCAGTACTTCAGCGTCTGGCGGGATTTCCGGAGGCTGAGCAAGAATGAAACTTTAGTGCAAGTCTGGAAGTGATTCAGGTGGAGGTGGGGCCGAGGGGGAAGCGGCCTTTGCAGTGGGTGGTCTGCTCGAGATGACAACTCTTGATGTGTTTAGCCTAGCTTGATTGTTCATAGGGCATCATGATGTCAAAAACAAAAATGCTGCGACATTCTGCTGTTGGAGTTCATGCAAATATTTAGTCATATGGGCGTTATGACAGCTGTGGGACGTGTTAAATTTGTCAATGAGGGAGATTAACAAAGACCAAAGACCCTTTAGAAGCGCACATGTCACTTATGCCAGGTCAAATTCATGGCCAGGAAAGTTCCAGTGGTCATGATTGATTCTGACTGGGTTCCAGTTGCTGTATGTATTTCCCGACCCTATGCGAGCATACAAAACACGCAAACCCACACTATAGACTATAGCTAAATTCCCAAAAAATCCTGGAGCAATATCTTTCAAAGAACCACTCATCAAACAACAACGAACAAATTAGATGAAAACTGAGAACATATTCCCACTTACAAGGTAACAAGAAAGACCAGTTGAAGATACTGTTTTCTTTGCATTAACCCACTTGGAGAGCCTTTCTCAGCTTCAACCAATCCCCTCTCTCAAAATCTAACACTAAATCAACATCATAACATCTAAAAAAACACTCAGCAGTTTTCTGAAGATGGTACCACATGTTCCTACACACTCATCTCAAGAACAGTGGCAAGTCTGTCACCAACCCACTGGTTGACACGTGTTTTTCAGCAGTCACGACCTGTCACGACCTGTCCCGTACCATGGAAAACCGAGCCATCCTGGTGGGTAATAATCGCAGTAATACCAAACAAGAAATCCCAGTCCCAACCAGAAGCAAGTCTGGTTGTTCCAATATGGCCATTGACATCCTTTACATAGGAAATGCCTGGGACTGGGGAAACATCCATTTCTTTCTGGTTGGGACTGGGGTTCCAGGAAACAATAAATGCGCGAACCTGCAGAGAAGTGAGCCAAACGGGACGCCATCGATGGAGGGTCTCCCTAGGCCCTATAGACTCATCGCCCTAAGTCAGCTCTCTGCCATGACCCCATTCTTCCCGCGACCAAGTCCCACGGATGGCACGACCAATGTACCCCCTTGAGCTCCGGACCCACTTCAGCAGTCCGATACCACATGTATGTGCGATAGACCTCGGTGCGGCACGCACGTACAGGAAAGGACCACGTGTCTGCCGCGCGGCGGACGCGTGCTGCGGCGCGTGCCATGTCCGGTGCGTGGTGCGTGTGCAGGTGTGCGTGGCACAGGTGTGGCCCCACAGCTCGACCAGACCATCGGATCATATGACCTGGTCAGATGTCCCGGTCAGACCCTGGATCCAAGTCATGTTGAAAAGAACTGCCGGTGAATCCGAAGAATCCCCAATTGAATCTGCCGGTGAACTGGTCGTGCGGCTTCATCCTGAACACATCGTGGTTCACGAGGTGGACCAGGACGTTGAAAAAAGGGGGTGCTCGGAATCGGAATTCGTTGGAAAAGACTCAACTGGGATTCAGATTCTGTTTTTTTGGTCCGGAATGGTTCTTATATGTTCTTATGGCATCCAAGTTGAGTGAGAGCTCGGTAGTTTTCTGTTCTTTTTTCTGCAGGTCGCTTCCTCTGGAGTCCCTCTGGTTGGATCTATAGATCCTTCAGATCCTTCGCGTACTCCGGACCTTCGACTCGAAGCGAGAGCACCGCGTTCCGGCGTTCCGTCGTCTTCTGGCGACATGGCCGGGGTCTGGCCGGGGTCCGGTTAGGAAAATGAACGATTAAGTGTCAAAGAATTCCTGCAAGACAAAGATATTTAGCTCCCATACCATGATCTTGTTCCTAGTAGCTTCTTGTTGCTAGTACAGCGATGGCCTCCAACCTACTTGCGATGGCCTCCACCCAATAGCGTCCTTGTTCCTACCATACTAATGACCATCATGATGGACCCCAAAGAGAAACAGCGAAGCACCCCTCCAAAGATGCTTCAAACAACGTTTCTAACTCGCAGACCATCCGTCTAATTCATTACAGTACTACAACTTAATTACATTGGGGTGGTTGAAACAGGGTCAATGCCAGCATGTGTAGGCATATGTTCCACACATGGACGTCCTGAGAACCTATATTTATTTGGGAACCTCTGTTGTGCATGTCCCAATGGTTGGACCTGGACCTCTTTCGTTGGCCCTCCGCACCAAGCCATGCGAATCCGTGTGCCGATCGGGGGAGAGAGAATTCAAGAACTAAAGCATGCTGTACATTGCTGTACTACAGGTCAGTTTGAGGATTTTAGGATGAGGTTTTGATGTGTCTTGAGTACAGGAAAAACATGGAAAAAACGGTTCTTCGATCCAAATACTCCTGTTGAATGATTCTTTGTAAATCAATTGATTCATCATTCGTCCAGCTGCTCTGAATTCTCGGAACGAAATCATGAAGTTGTTCATGCACACTTGGATTCAGATGGTTCCATTCAAAAGCACAGCAGCATACTATAGCATACTACTACAATCTGGCCATTTGTCTGGTGGCTCCTCGCCCCAATCTACTGCATAGTTATGCGTATCGTGGTCAAGTCCGAACGATCAAAGGTCAGAATATGTCAGAATACAACCTTGCTTCGATCCAACATTACACCTTGCTTTGTCCCGCTTTCTGGGCCCAGTGGATGATGATGGTCAGTTGATGATGGCCGACATCTCAAACATGGTGAGGATGATTAACTGCTACATACTGCTACCAACGGTTACAGGCAATCGGATACCGCCCATATTTACACCGGTGGGCCTGGGATCGCATGGCACCCCTGGGGCCCATGTCCCCAGCTGTTCAGTTTGTCCTTCACCGTTTGGTCATCCAAAGACCGTTCGAGGATGAACAGGTTTGGATGTCCCATATCCCCACCTGTTCAGTTTGGTACAGAAAAACATGTCTTCGATGTCACATGCTGCAGCACCCTACTGTGGCTGGGTTCCCCTCTCAAGGTTCAAGGTTCATTCCTGATCTGACCCTCGACGGTCGACCAGCATCTTCCACCGAACCACTCCCCGCTTGGCACACCAACCGGGAAACACAGGTTTAAGACAAGACAATCATATAAAACAACAACAAAGACAGTATTAAAACAACATTGGCTGAACTGGGTGAAACACAACACGGATAAACACGGGGATTCTTCTCTTTTTGTTTCACCCAGTTCACCGGGCTAAAGCCACCACCTCCTCCGGTCCGTCGTCTGACCACCGTTCCGTTCAGTGCCACGCGACAGAGAGTGCCACGAAGCTGAGGACGATGAAGAGGAAGACGAAGCCGCCCACCTCGCGAGCGAAGCGTGGCGCGGAGGAAGCGACATCCCATCCCGGGCTCGACAGCCCATCTCCTCAGGTGGTGACTGGCCCCCCGCAAATACACCCACCCCAACCACCGAACTGAAACGGAGGGGGCGACCAGGCATCTTGACCTGGCTGACCCTTCAATTCCTCCGGGCCTTCCGCCGGAAGGCGGTGCTATCGTCGATGCGATCGTCGATGGTCACATCATGTAACCATCCAAACGGGAATTTCTCCGGTCAGTAGCTCCACATGATCCTCTTGTTCTTCCTAATTGTGCAACTGTCACGTCCATACCCAAGTTTGGATCATTTGGATCATTCTAATTATTGATCTGATTCTTCGTCTTCATGTCCAAATCCCGACGAATTCCTTCGTCGACATTTCGCCACGAAGGACCCCCCCCGACCCTCACCGCCAACCGCATTTTGGGTATGGCGACCGGGGCGACCCGCAAAACCACAGGGTTTGAGTCAATGTCCTTCTTCCAAGGGATCCAACTGGAAGCTCCTTAGAGAAACAAACACCCAATAGCTTGGAAGGGGGGAAGCCTTCACCAGCGTCAGTGTCTCAGCGTGTCGTGTCCGTCGTGACGGGCGAGGAAACACCATCGGTCGTGACCCTCCCCAACGCGTCCGCCCGTTGGCATTTCTGAAGGACTGTACCAGCACCTTCAAAGGGGTCACCAATGGAAGCCCCTACACTACCTAGGGATCTCCATTGGTGACCCCTTTGAAGGTCCAGGTAAGCATTTTTGTTACGCAAGTTTACGTCCCGTGCTCAAGACATCTGTCTTTGCTGCATCTTTGTCAGCTCCAGCATCGAGCATCAATCGCACAAT